CTATGTTACTGCTTAAAAACCAAAAATTCATTAATTCCGCATGAAAAGCAAGCCACATGGTCAAATTTATTCTATTTAACGCCCAATCCAATCACGGACGTTGTCCGCCGGGGGAATCCTAGTTTCCTATCCTGGTTACGTAGTCTCTAATATCTATGGTAATAGCCTTTCTCAAAACTTTGCTAATTGTCATTATAGAATCAGTTTTGCCAGATTTAATAATCTCATGACTGTCATAATAATAATAACTTACTATTGTATTATGTGTCACATTAAATATGTACACATTATTAGTAACTGTAGCAAGACCATCATCATTAGTTACTCCTCCTAACATTATTCCTTTATTTTGATTTATTTTGTTGATTGCAAATTCACTAGTTGGTGGACAACACTGTCCACTGACAGATGGAACAGTGAACTGTCCTAAAAATACAATAAATATAAATAATTAATAATGTCATCAACTGTCACATCTCAAGACATATTCACACAATTGATAAAAAGATACTCACCATTAGATAGATTATAAAGTAATTGTTCATTAGTACGAACACGTCCATCCTCAAGCTGATCATATTGAAACTGAGGATATTTGACAGCTGGTGTAGCACCTAACCCTCCAACCATAAAAAGATAGTCAGTTCCTTCAAATTCCAGTGATACCATTCCACCATAGCCTTTCTTCATCATGGACTCATCATTAGGATGCAATTGAGTCCAGCTCATGGTCAGTGTATTGAGTACATTTAAACTGTTGTGGTAACAATCATCATGACCACACCAGCCAGCATAATAATAAATATTAGAATGAAAGGTGGTACAGGAGTAGCCAGTAACTCCTAATGGAGGAGTGCCTCTTGTTAGGTGAGAGGACCAGCGAGCTGATGAAAAGGAAAATGTCTCAACTGTTGAGGTCACTTTCCTCTTTTGAGGTGAATCGTGTACTTGAGGTAAATCAAGCTGGTTCCCTGCCCACAGGTAGAGTGATCCTCTTATTACTGGAGCTGAGTGAGTAGCCCTACCTTTAAACTTATAAATACCTGTAAAGGAAAGAAAATAGAAGGAAAAGAATTAAAATAAAAGAGAAGAAAAGAAACTAACTTTGCTCAGACATTAATTTTCTTCCAAAAACTTAGGTGTGGCCAATTATGAAAAGGGTGTGGTATAATCATCAATTAACCGTATTGAGCATGCGCACAAGATTACAGTGCCAAACCTAGTAACTATAGCAACGAGCCACCTTTATTAATAAAAACAAGTGTAACAGTGTAAAAAATATTCCTATAATTGATTTCACCACCTTGCAAGTACAACTTGGTCATTATTAAGACTTATAGAGGTTCTCTCTACCTTCAAATGCTTCTAGAGAAGTTTTTAAACAGTATCTTTATCTTCCCTTGCTGTTAGAAAGCTCTTAACTTTGTCCCATGTGTAAGCCGCCATTTTGTTTGCTGTGACCACACCCACTACGTAGGGAGCGTGGGCGGGTGGTTTCTAAGGCTTGTTATTTCTCCAATACAACATGTAGATAGAAGAAATGTAAGTGTGGACATACAAATATATATACCGTAGGACGACTAATTTTCGCGAATGCTAATTAGAATTTCCATGGAAACAGATTAGATAATTGCTATGGCGATTGACCACGTGTTTATACATTTACAGTGTCCAGCAGCTAATCAGCTATCTTTAGCAGCTTTAGTGGAGCCATCCAGCTCTCTTATCCCGTTATA